TCATTAATTTCTGCTCTGATTTTTGTTATTTCTTCTCTTCTGCTGGGTTTGGGTTTCATTTGTTCTTGTTTTTCCAGGGTCTTGAGTTGCAGTGTTGAGTCATTTATTTGGGCTCTTTCTAATTTTTTGGGGGGGAGAGGGTCTTTTTTGAGACAGGTCTCCTGGTAGTCCCAGCTATCCTGGAGCTCACTATGTAGAGCAGGCTGGCCTTGAACTCACAAAGATCTGCCTGCCTCTTGCAGGGACTAAAGGCATTCGCTATAAACTCCCCTCTTAAGACTGCTTTTAAAGTGCCCAGAGGTTATGTTGTATTGTATTGTCCTTTTCATTGAATTCCAGGAATTCTTTTATTTCTTTCTTAATTTCTCCTTTGACCCTCTCGTTGTTTAGCAGTGTGTTGTTCAATCGCCACGAGTTCGTGTAGTGGCTAGGGCTTTGTCCGGTGTTGATTTTGAGCTTTATTGCATTGTCATCTGATAGAATGCATGGGATTATTTCAGTCTATTTGTATTTGTTGAGGATTATTTTGTGGCCCAGTATGTGATCAATTTTTGAAAAAGTTCCATGGGGTGCTGTGTCCCAGAGACCTGGTTCCTCCAAGGGGAATGGACCATAGAGGGGCTTATGGGAGCCATCTTGGGATGGAAGCCATGAGCCACCAGGAAAGGTGGCGGGTGTGGAGAACACGCACAGCAGACATGGAGAAAAAGATGGCTCTGGCATCTTACTGGTGTAGCTTACCCATGTAGCGAGAGGGACATTTACTTACGTGTTTTTATGAATCTGGGTGCACCAGAGTTTGGTGCATATATTAAGGATTGTGATATCTTCTTGGTTAACTGTTCCTTCGATAAGAATGAAGTGACCCTCCTTATCTCTTCTGATTAGTTTTACTTTGAAGTCTATTTTGTCAGATATTAGAATTGCAACCCCTGCTTGTTTCTTAGTGCCATTTGCTTGAAATATTCTTTTCCATCCTTTCACTTTAAGATAGTGTCTGTCCTTGAAAGTGAGATGAGTTTCTTGCAGACAACAAAGAGATGGGTTTTGTTTCTTAATCCATTCACCTAGTCTGTGTCTTTTGACTGGGGAGTTCAGTCCGTTAATATTTAAAGTTATTAATGAAAGATGAGTATTGAATCCTGTCACTTTTATTTCTGTTTACATTCTTGATATAGCTGTACTTTTCCAGACAGAAAGGAGATGGATTTTGTTTCTTTTGTTGTTGTTGTTTCTTAATCTATTCACTTAGCCTGTGCCTTTTGACTGAGTTCAGTCCATTGATATTTAAGGTTATTGTTGAAAGATGTATATTGGTTGCTGTCCTTTGATTGCTGTTTGTGTTCTCTGTCTGATTTTGTGTTTCCTCAGTTATACCCTTATTTATTTTCTTTTGTTGCCCCTGGGGTATAGTTGTTTCTCTCTCTGCTCTCTGTATTACTTCAAGTATTCTTTGAAGGACTGGTTTTGTGGACATGTATTCTTTCAGGCTTTTTGTGTCATGGAAGATTTTTCTTTCCCTCTCAACTATAATAGACATTTTTGCTAGGTAAAGTATTCTGGGCTGGCATCTGTTGTCATGTAAAACTGAGAATACCTTGGTCCAGGCTCTTCTGGCTTTCATAGTTTGCATTGATAAGTCAGCTGTAATTCTGATGGGCTTTCCTTTGTATGTGACTTGTTTTTCTTTTGCTGCTTTCAGTATTCTTTCTTTGTTCTGTACATTTAGTGTTTTTACTATGATATGTCATGGGGAGTTTCTTTTCTGATCCTATTTGGTGTTCTATGTGCTTCCTGTATTTGTATGGGGATGTCGTTCCTTAATTTCGGGAATTCTCTTCTACAATCCTGTTTAACCTGAAATTCTTCTCCTTCCTCTATTCCTATGATCTGTAGATTTGGTCTTTTCCTGGTGTCCCACATCAATTCCTTTCCTGTGTTTTTTAAATTTTTCCATAATCTTTGCTTGAGTGGTCCAATCCTTCAACCCTATCCCCCAGTGTTGATATTCTGTTTTCCGTTTCATTAATTCTAGTGATGAGGCTTTCCCCTGTTGTTTTAAATTGGCTTATTGAGTTTTGCACTTCCTTCTTCATTTCTGCCTGAGTTTTCTTCAATATTTCCATCTCTTTTGTGAATTCATTTAGAAGTTTATCTCTTTTCTTTTCGTTCTTTGATTTTTTTTTTTTTTTTTTGGTTCAGTGTTCTTTAAATTTGTTGAATTCCTTGATCGTGTTTATGATTGTTCTTTTAAATCCAGTGTTCTGGGTTATCTTTAAGGGGTTCTCCTTGTAGAACTCTTCTACAGGATTGGTGGAGTTTGGTGGGGACATAGTGTTTTGGCTTTCCATTTTATTATTCTTTTGTTTTGATTTTGGCATGTGAATTTCTTTTGTTGTTTATAATTCCAATATGAGAATTAAGTCAAACTATGCTTCTGTTTGTATTATCCAGGTGCCTAGATCCTTTCTTCACTGGTTATATAAAGCTGGTTGGTACAGGGTTCAGTTTCTCTCAGATTTAATTTGGAGGGAACTGATGGCTTCAGATCAGCTATTCAGAAGTACCCACAGAAGCCCAATTCAGGTTCCAGTCAGGTACCCTCAGGCTTCCTTCACCACATGGAGGCAGGATCTGGGTGCTCTCAGGCAGTCTACCCTCTCAGGTTGTCTGCTAGGATCTCAGCCTTCGCCTACCAAAGCCAGATCTGCCCTGGAGCCTTGGAAGGGGCCTCACAAAATCCCAGGTAGGGGAATGGGTATGGCACAATTAAGGGACACCTACCACCACATGGAGGCAGGATCTGGGTACTCTCAGGCAGTCCCCTGCGTTCTCAGCACTCTCCTGGCGGTCTGTTGAGATCAGAACCACTATACCACCTATGGAGGTCTGGAGGTCAGAACCCACCCTCTCAGGCTCCATTATTAGTTCTTTAAAGAAGAAAAAGTACCAGAATATCATCTCAAATTTCGTGCAGTTTTGTGTGTGTATGACATCCATATTTTAAAATATTTATCACTGAGTATGGTCAGTTATTTGGTATTTTAGCTATTAAATCAAAATAGTGCTCAAGCTAATGGGCAAAACTTCATCCTGGAATACTTTTAGAGAAGCATAAAGAATATAAAATCTGTTTTGCCATGCATAGCATCTTATGAAACTTAGCACAGCCTGGGGCTTAGTCAGTAAAGTGCTTGCTGGGCAAAACATGAGGACCTGAATTCAGTCTCCAGCATCCACAATAAAAACTGGACTCGGTGGTGTACACAGTGCTTGGGAGGCAGAAACAGGAAGCTCCCTGGGCTTACTGGTCACCCAGCCTAGTCTAATTAGCAAGCTCCAGGTCCCCAGACCTTGTCTCATAAAAACAAGGTTGATGGCTCCTGAGGAACACCATCCAAGGTTGACCACTGGCCTCTATACACTAGATATACACAGAGACAAACACATGTGCATGTGCACATGCATCTGTTACCCCCTCCCAAAAAAAACCATTTAAGCACAATAATACTAATTATTTACTCAGTGTCATTAGAAATTATAATTTCTACCCTCTTTCTTTTTGGCTATTGAATGCACTTTGTATTTACTTTCATCCATGCTTTTCTTGTTGAGAAGATTTTTGTACCATAGGCTCCTCTTTGCTTGTTGTCTCTTTTCTGTTTGAGTTCCTTCTTGCCTCACTCTTCTTTAACCAATCTGGAAAGATGATGAGGCAACTGCTAAGGTTGACTGTGCATTTTGGTTAATGAATAGCAAACTAATAGGATACATAAAACATATGAAACTGTGCAGAGTTAGCTGCTGTCAAAGCCCTAGGGATACAATAATTTTCTTTTTAAAAACGCTCTCTTGTGGTATTTTATATTCTGATTTACCATTCCTAATATTATAGTGCTATCATGAAGTTTTCTTTTCTACTTTAGTCTGTGAGTATTTCACCTTGTGGTGAATTTCTAGAAGACAGCTAAGACCCAAAAAGGAAATGAAATCAATTGGATTAAGTAGTACTTCAAATGTAGTCATAGAAAAATAGGTACAGAAATTTTATGAAATATTTGTAGTTTTGGCCTGCAATTTTTTTCTTCTGTTTTTTGGCTTCTGGTGCTCCTTTTGGGTTTCTCTCTGGGGTTAGAACAGTATATAATATATTTCTTGAAAATGTTTCTATCATAAAAGCCAGCTACATTTGGTATTGTAGTCAGCCAAGCTTGAGAGTTCTTGTAATCTGTGTCATCCTGTCTCATACTGTCCCATCTCATAGTTGTCCTCTCTCTGCAGTGCTCTATGCCCAGGTCTCTGTGGCTGGGCTGCTCCAGCCTGGCGGACAGCATGCCTTCGCTGCGATGCCTGTATAACCCAGGGACTGGCGCACTCACAGCTTTCCAGGTACTTTCTCTGTCTCTATGGGTTATTGGTGGGTGTGTTGCCTTAATTCATTAGTATATGCTCCTTGCCATCCTGTGCTTTACTTACAATCACCTCTTCATTCTGCCTGTACTTCACACCACTCAGTATTTCTTTAATGATTTAATTTTTAATGTAGATCCAGACTGATTCATTCTTAAAACATTTTTCTCCTAATTGGTTTGACAGGAGCATAACACAACTTGACCGTTCAGATCTAGTAGCATTGTTAAAGTGATCTAATTAAATAGCAATTCAGGATGTAGTGTTCACTCTACATAAAAGCCAGTTCATGAAATTAATTAATTACAGTCAGTTGCACCGGCATCTTATGCTTTTCTTATGATTACTACAAATCACTCTGAATAGGAGTGATTTGTTTTACTGTATTACTTACTATACATATGTGTATGGGTGCACACCCGTTTATCAGAACTGTGTATTATTTAGCTCTTGAATGTCTCTAGGTTCAAGGTGGGAAAGTCCTTAAGACCTTTGGACACAGTGTTCAACTTGTGACAGGGCAGTGGGTCTTAATGGATTGGTGGACTCTAGTTCCTCTCAGTCTTCCTTCAAGGCCAAGATGTCAGTTTAGTGATATAAGAGAAAATGGAATATTGTAAAAGAAAATGCGACAAAGAACTTGGCACTCACTGTTTTGATTAGGGTACCAGGCAGAAGTTTTCTTGATTTTCTTGGCAGAAGTTCTACCTGTTCACTTCAGGTATTTAGAATTTGTGTTTAGCATTTTATAGTAAATTTTCAGATTTTTTTTCTTTTTTGGCTTGTTTTTTGGTTTTGTTGGTTTGTTTTTAGAGACAAGATCAGGCCTTGTAGATCAGGCTGGCCAGGAACTCACTGTGATCCTCCTCCCTGAGCCTCTTCAGTGCTCGGATTCTAGGAGTGAGTCACTACACCCAGCTTTTTGTTTGTTTCTAACCTGTGTAGTTCATTCTCTGTTTAGAGGAAATTCAAAAACAAGCTTAAGTAAATATGAAGTTACTCTTGACTGAGCCTTAGAGAAGAATTAAATACTATTACTAGTCTTCAGGGGTACTGTTTTAGTGATGATCATGCTGGAGGCTTTCACTCTTCTTTGTACAGTTAAATGCTAATATCCCTTGCTTGTACTCTGAGACACAAATAGAGTAAAGCATGTTGACCCTAAAAACAGGCGAATCTTTTAAAATATAAATACTATGTCACTCACTAGGAGTATGGTCTTAATTTTTAAAAATTTATTTTTATTTTATGTGTACGAGTGTTTTTCCTGCATGTATATATGTGCACCTGGTGACCAAGGGCAAAGGCCAGATTTCTCTTTGGATAAAGCTGTTTCTTCACTACACAGGTGTCACAAACCCTTTGAGAATTTCTAAGATTTGTTGATCCTTGTGTATGTATAAGCAACCTTTTATTGAATAGTTACATATATATATGATTGTCATATTTACTTTCCACTGTGAAATGAGCAAGAGAGCTAGGAAGCTACATAATTCCTTTTGTAATCTCCCAAACTAATTGATTCTATGAAGGTAATGTGCAGGTAATAAAGACTATATAAAAGAGGGAACTGGACTGGGGTTATAGCTGAGTGTTGGGGCACCTGCTTCTCATGCATGGGGCTCTAGGTGCTATCAAGAGCACCACAAATCAAATCAATCTAAAGATGACCTAACCTCAGAGTTGGGATAAGGAGGAACAGGTAACTAATATTTAAGATCTGAAAGTAGGAATCATCTAGACCAGGAGACAGACTGAGAATATCTCACGCCTACTGAAAGGCTGGTGTAAAAGCCCTGAGGACAGGACTGGAGAGCTGGCACCCACATGGTGGCTACCAATGGTCTATAACTCCAGTTCCAGGGGATTTGACGCCCTCTTCATAATGTATAGTGCCGCTGGCCTCCCGTGGGCACTATACATTATGGGCTCACTTACATGCATGTAGACAAACACTCATACACATAAAATGAAAATAATTTTTTTAAAAATTAAGGAAAAAAGCCCTGAGGACAGATAAAGCATGAGTGCATTTAAGTGAAATTGTGTAGCATAAACAGAAAGGAGATGCTTATAAAACACCTTAGTAAGGAAAACCCAGAGGTCAATGTGTGAGGTGACTAGAGGGTGGACCCTAGCTCCAGATTACCTGGAATTGGAGCCTTGACTCTTTTATTTTCTAGGTATAACCGTAGTGCAAGCACTTGACTTCTCTTATCTAAATCTCCTTATCAAACAGCACCTATCTTAACAGGGTTAAATTAGTTGATTTATATTAAATTCCTTAACTTGGCAGATAATGATTTTTAATAGAAAAATAGAAAAATGTACAAAGGACTAGGTTTGGAGGCTTTCAACAACTATTTTTCATCTTGGTATAAAATAATATGTTACTAAGTACAGTTTTACTTTTCCTAATAAATGTCCCAGTTCTTTGGGGTTGCTTACTGTTGGTTCAGATATTGATGAGTACGAATATTTTTCTTTGCTTATCTTATAGGATCATTATCATGTCCAAGTGTTGAGATTATAGGTAAGAAACTCCGTGCCTGGCCAAACTTTTTTGTTTTTTTTTTTTGTCTTTTTGAGACAGGGCCTTCCCCTAGCCATAGCTGGCCTGGATTCACAATAGAGACCAGGCTGGCCTTGAACTCAGGGAAATCTGCCTGCCTCTGCCTCCCAAGTGCTGGGATTAAAGGTGTGTGCCACCACGCCCAGCTTAATGGTGACTTTATAATGCTACAAAAATGTTAGATGGGGCTGGAGAGATGGCTCAGTGATTAAGGGTACTAACTGCTCTTGCAGAGGACCTGGGTTCAGTTCCAGCACCCACATGGAGGCAAACAACCATCTGTAACTCCAGTTCTAGGGAATCCGATGCCCTCTTCTAACTTCCATGGGCATTGCATGACATAGGTGCACTTACATACATGCAGGAAATACACTCATACACATAAAAGTAATATTTTTAAAAAAGAAAATGTTACACATTTAAGCATATTTGACAATATTAACTCTGTGAGTTCAAGGCCCGCTTGGTCTACATAGTGAGTTCCAGGACAGCTGGGGCTACAGAGAGACCCTGTCTCAAAAGGAAAAAAAAAGTCACCATTAAAAATCATGAGGCAGAAGCAGTTAGATCTCTTTGAGTTCAAGGCCAGCCTGGTCTACATAGTTCCAGGCCAGCTGGGGCTACAGGGAGACCCTGTCTAAAAAAAAAAAAAAAAATCACATATTCTTTATTATGTTTGAAGTATTTTTTTCCCTCTACTTTCGTTTCCTGAGCTACAGGGTTTTTCAGCTAAACCTGGAGCTTGCAAATTTGACTAGCCTGCTTGTTCCAGGGATCCCCTGTGTCTGCCTCCCAGTGCTAGGATTACAAACTGGCAGCCACACCCACCCAGCTTTTATTTGGGGATCTGAGCCTGATCCTCACACCTGCAAGGCAAGCTTTTTGTTTACTAGCCATTTCTCCAGTCCCTGAAGTTTGAAGTTTTAAGACTGAACCATTCTTGCTGGCATGGTGGTTCACACCTTTAATCCTAGCACTTCGGAAGCAGAGGAAGGTAGATCTCTGTGAGTTTGAGGCCAGCCAGGGCTACATTGTGAGGAGTTGTCTAAAAAAAATAATAATAATAATAAAGATTTTAAAAGGAAAGAAAGAAGTGAAGATTCTTATGGCAAGGGGGAAGGAAGATCCAGGGAGTCATTTCTGAATTTGTTAGCGGTTCTTAGTAACTCAAATTGAAGTCACAGCATTGGGATGATTTGCTTGTTGACGTTTCTGACCACACAGTTTGAGCTAGGGACAGAAAAGATGCTGGAAAGGGGTACATTTACTTTGAACATATTTTTGCTTCCATCATTCCATTGGTTTATTCTGGAAAGTATATGCGTAATTAAGAGGATATCTTTTGATTAACAGTGAATTATTTTATGTATTTATTTACTCATCCTAAAAAAATGGTGATCTGCTTATCCATAATATTAAATGAGAATGAGTAGTTGAATGTACTTAAAGATGGCTGAATAATTAAGGTCTTTTTTTAAAATGTTTTATTTATTATTTTTATTTTATGTGTATGTGTGTATTGCCTGCATGTAAGTAAGTGCACCCATGTTGTGCAGTGCCTGCAGAGGACAGAAGAGACTGTTGGATCCCCTGGAACTTCAATTACAGACAGTTGTTAGCTGCCATGTGGGTGCTGGGATTCGAATCCTGGTCTTCTGCAAGAACAGTGTTCTTATCTGCTGAGCCATCTCTCCAGCCCCACAGTCTTTTATTTTTCTTTAAACATTGAAAGAGAAGAGGAATAAAATTCTAACACTAAGAATATAAGTAGATTCATAAGATCTCAAAATATTTTAGGTGTCGTAGCTCGTAAGTTTAGGCAAGTCTTTACATAAGTGAACCATATGGTATTTTAAAATTAGCTAGGGTCCCTTGAAATTGTGGGGAGTTGACTTCAGGAAGAGTCTGTGTTTTATTGCTTATAAATAATTAGACATCTATTAAGTCACCTACAAAATGAAATGTTAAAATGGAATAGTACTACGAAAATTAAGAAATATTCAGTACACATACATATCTACCTATTTTGGAAAGCTTCATTTTATCCTTGAAAATTTGGTGAAATATGAATTATCATAGTAAAGGTAAGTTAACAATTATATCCTATAAGGAAAATTATACCTTTTCAAGCCCTAACTGATACATATGAATAATTTCAGTGCAACACAATTTCTATATAATTTTTTTGAGGTTTTTTTCTTTCATCTATTAACATTTGACATAAATTTATCCCAGTTGTATCTCTTCAGTGTCTTAAAGATAATTTTGTTTTGTGGAGAAAATTTTTTCCTGCTTAATACAATTTGTTTGTTGTGGAATATGTAAAGTTTTCACAAAATCAATAAGAAAGCATCACTCAATCCTTCTCGCTCTTTTTTTTTTCTTTTCTTTTCTTTTTTTTTTTTTG